ATGAAGTGTACCCGTGAATGTAACGACATTGGCAAACACACACGTTTTCAGAGATTTACATGTATATATATACAACACACACCACACCCCACACACACAACACACCACACACACACACACACACACACACACCACACTTGAGGGGAGGATAAAGTGAGAAAATCTTTTTGATTTAGGAGAGGGAAGAGCTCCTGCAGCTACCAGCGTGTAATGGAGGGAGAGGAACGGATTGAAATGATGGAAGGAGATTGCAGGACGGAGAGAGTGGAACAAAGACAAGAAAGCCGGTTTTGAAGCGTGAAAGAAAAGGGAAGATGGAAAAAAAGACGCCGATGTGCATCACCACACACCACACACACCACACACACACACACACAACTAACAAGAGCAGCAGGATAGCCAAGCATGCCCCCTGCAGAATGGGTGTGAAAACCACACACACAGCAAGACCAACGGCTGTACGACATAAACATTTTTAAAGAATCAATATTATTAATATTCTCCACTTAGGCCCTGGTCGGTGTAATGTCACGTAGCTCGTTTTCTAGTTTTTGGTCTTGCGAAAGTTTTTGTGTGTCCTTGAGATTCCGCCTTCACACCCAGCAACAGTTTAAGATGAGTGGAGGTTTCTTTGTTGGTGCTCACAGCAATGAAAAAAACGGAATTCAGAAAAAACCATCTTTTCAAAATCAACATTACTTACCACCTGTTCAACTGCTCGGTTAACGGCAAATATCTAATAAGGCGATCACATGGCAGCAACTCAATGCATTTAGGCCACCATTGGACCAGGTCAAAGACGACCAGCTGAGGTTTCAAACCCGAGCATCAGAATGAAGAAGAACGGTTGAATGTAAGTGACTAAATGAACGTGGCGTGGTTGTATGGGTGTCAGACGGGTGGTCTGAGGGTATTTTCAGAAAACTGCTAGTCTACTATTTTCATGCACAACCATTTCTCTAGAGTTTACAGAGGGTGGTCTGAAGGCTTTTACAATTTCAACGGGCTCACAAAAACTTGAACTTATAGAAGATTGGAAATAGCGTTGCCCATGATCTGATGAGTCTCGATTTCTGTTGGCGACTTTTTCGGGACGGTAGTGTCAGGAATTTGGCGTTAAACAACATGAACAGCCATGGATCCATCCTGGCCTGGTATCAACGGTTCAGGCTGCTGGTGGTGGTTAACAGTGTGGGGATATTTTTTTTGGCAAACTTTGGGCCTGCTTTAGTACAAATGGAAGGCATTCATTTTGAACGCCAACAGCCTTGCCTGAGCGTTGTTGCTAGCCATGTCCTTCCTTTAGGACGCACAGTGTTACCCGTCTTCTGAATGGCTACTTCCAGAGGATAACATCACCCATTGGTCACAAAGCTCACACTGGCGTCAACCCGGCACTAACAAGGTTGTACGTAATAAGTGGCGGTGAGTGTATATAAATAATGAACTGCGAATTTCCAAACTGGTACTATTATTCAATGTCCGTATTGCCTTTTTTATGGATTAGATAGTTTACTGACAAGTTCAATAGACAGGCAATAGGTCAAGCTAAGATTCAAGATATCAACAGCCTGACGCATGGTGTAAACTGTCATTTAAATTCAAAGATCTTACAGCTCAAAATATTCTTTTTTTTTTCCCCTACACGTATCGCGCGCATGAACTATTTCCTTACTGGAGGGGTTATGTGCCAGTCAGCAACAGGAAAATAACCAAATTATTTAACAAAGAGATCTCGGAGAACAAAAATCATCACAATCATGACGATAAAATGATGTGAGAAAAATATTTCAGTCGGGCGACCACGAAGGAGAGTCAAACGAACCACACAAAGACGAGAACGTCTCAACCATCCTGTGTTTGGAAGTTTTACATGGAATGGGTTCGTCATGTTTGCACGAAACGACAGTTGCGAGAGAGTTTCAAGCTATTGATTCAAAAACTAATTTATGTGGGATTCCATAATAACTGCTTGAATTTCAAATTAAAATAAATGAAAAAATTTATATTTTTGGACATTTTTGGGCCAATATTTTGAATAGATTCACAAAACAGGTTTGGTTTACAGGTTGATTTTTTAGCATGATATATAC